AGCAACAATAGTTGCATTTTTATATTAGTGCAAGTGACAGGATTTGACTTGGACATGGATATTCTGATATAATTTGCACTGGAGAGATGCAACTTTACAGCACACAGCACTCGTATGTCCTAAAATATTAATTTCTAGCAAATTAGCTGGAGTAGAAAGATAGAGAAGGAATATTTCCCCCCCAATAATTCTCACTGAGATGATTATAATCATCTTGAAACCTGAGATGCTGCTGGCTGTGCTTTATGACCACATGAGGCATTGTCATTAACCTATGATATGGACCAAACCATGAAAGAAATATTTGAAAGATATACTTAATACTCACTTCTGTTCCAGCAACTTATAACATAGGACATTATGGAATGTTAAACCTATAAAAAGATCCTGAGGCTTCAGTTAAATTTGTTTTGGAAGGTTTATAGCCCAGTGTTGCCAACTGTCCATAAATTTAGAGATAGTCCTTAAAAAAAAACAGTTAAAAAAACCTAAGCAAACTGGAGCTTGATTGAAGCTCGTCTAAACAAAGCTGCATGTTGAAAAACAGACAGAGCGCAGCAGTGCCTACTGGTGTCTGAGAAGGAGTACAGCACCCTTAAGGGAATATTTTTCAGAGCTTTCTAGCCTACAGGAGCTTCCCTTCTGCTTCCCCACTACACCATATGCTGCTGCTGCTGTATCTTCTTGCCTGCCTGATTTTTGTGCCTGGGGCACAGGTAGGAAGACAGTAGTCCTTCTTTAGTAGTTTATACCAGAAAGTAGGAGGCAAGACTAGTGGGTGTAAGGCTGGGGTCAGCCTGGGGGAAGCAGCATGGTATGGAATGCAGTTGGGGGCATCAGGAGGTGAGATGAGTAAGAGACCCCTAAGAAGCATGGTATAAAACCACTGCTACTGCAGTTGAGCAGGATTGCAAACCCAAGATTTTTTTTTTTTTTGACAATCTGCCAACTTTTTACAGACAACCAAACTTTATGATGGTTGGTGTTAAATCCCTAATTTTGAACCTGGCTCCTGTCTAGGACCTGGCAGAAGGTTACGTTTACATTATGTAAAACATGTCAGTATGTTTGGTAGGCAGTAAAAAGCTTGCAGATTGTCAGTAAAAAAAAAAGTCTTGGTTTGGCACCCTGTTACTACCACCCCAAAATAAGAGAAACACTTCTTAGCTGACTGACTTTATAGCAGTAAGTTCTCAATTTAAAAATGGACATAGTGTGGCAGAGGTTGAACAATTTCCTTTTGTAGTACTGTGTAGTAGCAGGCTGTCAACCTATGTCATCCATATAACTTCAGTAGAATCAAATGGATTTTCAACATTTTGTCTCACCAGCAGGAAACATACATTTTTCCTTTAAAATAAGTTTTATCACTCTCATGTCAAAAACAGTGAAGCATAATGTAGTTCACATGAAAGCACATAAATTACTATATTCCCTTGAAAAGAAAAAAGCTTTCAATATCATGCAGCATAGCCTCACTTCACATTGCTTTCCCTCCAGTCTCATTTCTAAAGCACCTTTCACCAGGGATTCTATTATGCCATCCATTTTTAATCTGAACTCCTCCTTGGATTCATTTGGCACTGGTTTGTACTAATGATACAGCTATTCATATGAGTCAGAAATCAGGCTTCCCAGTTGACTACAAATCAAAGGATCAGGCCTTTAATTTGTAGCCAATCAAAGGTTTAATACAGTCTGCCCACAAGCCCTGAGCAGACTAGAAGGAGAATGATGGAATAAACATTACAGATACCTGTTGTGAGAACACAGCTGCCGATTGGGACAGAACTGATTTTTGTGCTCTGGGCCTGTGTTATGAGCTGTTGCCCTTCTTGCATACAATGGCTAGATAGATAATTCTTTGGACTATGCTTTTTGTGTATTCAGATAAAAAAGAAACAGACAACTACTGAGTGTATAATAGTGTTCTACACTCAGAGGCTTTTTTCTAAAGGTGATATGCCTTTAGACTTCTTCATGGCATGGGCCTACATGCAAAATCCAATGTAAAATCTTTTCACATTACAGTCTACATTTCTATAACCATTTTGCCAGTTAATGACTGAGATTTGTTACTGTTTAAGCCAATTTGTACATCCTCTTGTTTAAATACTTTATGAACAGTGTAAAAGAAGCTCTACAGAGTAATTCTTTCAAATATCACTCTTTTGCTACTCTATATACATATAATTATTCTATTATTTGACTATATATTGGATGATAATATGCCAGAATAAAAATAATTGTGTTAAAAATAATACTTTGCTGAAATATATATAAATTACTCAAATAAGAAAGTTAAAATATACTAAAAGAGAAAATTATTTTTCAGGGATACAGTACTAAAATGCTGATATTCCAGCCACACAGACTCTATACTGACATAGATATGTTTAAATAAATTTATCAGCACACATTTTCATTCCTTTCAGTTCCATCCCTGAAAAAAACCCAGTTCAGAACGATTTCCTTTATGTTAATAAAATTATTATCATGTGTTAATCTAATCCCACTGGTGTCTGCATGGTGTTATGTTCAGCAAGGTATGCAGTTATGTGCCTAGCATATTTTTTTGTACATATCAAATGTTGTCAACAACTTGGCATGAAATTATTTAGACCTGATTACCAGATTCACCCTCATGGATCTCACATACTTCTAAGGGCAGAGTGAACAGACAGTTGCATCATTCATTGTATGCATCTGTTATAAACATATGTACTTTTCCTTTGTTTATTCTATGAATACAAAAATTGTGTTTACACAGCAAATGTCAATTCAGTGGTTTAGTGACAAGGATGTCTTATTAGAAAAGAGTCTAATAGTAGAGATTTCCATGTTTTAGCTAAACTGTGCCCCTCTAAGCAGATATTTATTTTAGAATAGCCCCACACCAGCCCTTCTCTCCCACATACATTCCATCTCTTGCTCTACTCAAGTTATGTCATGAGTAGGATTAGTAAAACAATAAATGCAAAAGAAAATAAAGAATGCAGGTTATAGTTAGAGACTTACTAAACAAATAAGTATAGCAATTAATGAGACTAACCATGCTAGTAAAATGGGCAAGATGTAGCCCTGTATCTCGCTAAGTGAAACATTTTCTACACTTGTATCATATTTGTTCTATGGCCTTTTATCTAGAATAGTATGTTTATTTCCAAAGTCGAAAAATAATGGATTGTTTAGAAGCATCTACATCTCTCTGATTGTACAGCTTAAAAGCATCCCAAACATTTTGTCATTTGTTTATGTCATTTTGACACTGCTGACTTTAACCAGAAATAATGGGCTAAAGGAACCTTTCTTTAAAAAAAAGGTTGTCAAAATAATGATTCCTCTTTAGCTGCAGCCTTAAATAAAGTTGATACATGACTACTCCTGTAACGAAAGGGGAGGGAAAAGAATAACATCCCCAAGAGTTAAGCATATATATTGTGCGTAGCAATAAATTAGTGCTTTATAGGGTGCAAATATTTATACACTGTTCTTCTTACCTATGACTCATTTCTAATTATAGATAAATTTTAATTCAGATATGTGGGAGGGGTTGGGAATGTGAATCAAGTGCTATCTTGTTTTGCTAGCTACTCAAAAGGCTTTCTTCAGATTTTATATTCTAAGATTTCTCTCTCCTATAGATCCCTCCTTTCATCTGGTGATTAACATTCTGTCTTTTCACTAGGAATATTATATAACACTCCTTATATCCATGAACCTAACAGAGTATTTTTAGGTACAGATTAAATCTCCTTAGATGGGAATTAAAACCACAACATTATGTCTCAGTCCAGTGGTATCACTTCTAACCACTACCATTCAGTTGGTACTTAAGTCATACATCCTTAATTATATTTGTTGAATACCATGTTAGAATACTTTGCCCTTAAAGATTACAGCAATATGTTATGTCAACTCAAGCCACAAGCAGGAATTTTTTTTCCCTTTTTTGGACATTTCTTGCTGTATATAAATATTACAAATTTATTTTACATGGTCACTAAATTTGAATATATAACATTTATGATTTATCATATACTGTAGAAATGCTGCTTCCCCACATGTATTGTTTGTTTTTATTATAAGAACCCAACCAACCTATAATATATTAAGGTAACTGGACTTTCAGAGAGTTTTGATTTACCTTATCTTGCAGACAGTAAAAGTTATGGCCCAGTCTTAAAGCAAATCAAAATAGCTTGACTTTGAAAGCTCTGAAGTCTTTATTGTTGCTTTTTTTATTAGACTGATGCCTTAAGTAACAATTGCTAAATGAAGTTAAAGAGAACTTTCACTCTCTGAATAGAACTGGTAGCTATACATGGCTTTGATATTGCCTGAATATATGAACCAACAGGGTGCCCTTGTTGCAAAGAAGGCTAACAGCATACTTGGCTGTATTAGTAGGAGCGTTGCCAGCAGATTGAGGGAAGTGAATCTTCTCTATTGTGGCCTTGGTAAGGCCACACCTGGAGTACTGTGTCCAGTTTTGGGCCTCCACTACAGAAAGGATGTGGAAAAATTGAGGAGAGTCTAGTGGAGGACAACAAAAATGGTGAGGTGGTTGGGAACTTCTGAGGAGAAGCTGCGGGAACTGGGCTTATTTAGTCTGGAGAAGAGAAAACTGACAGTGAATATGATAAAAGCCTTCAACTACCTGAAGGGTGGTTTCAAAGAGGATGGAGCTAGACTGTTCTCAGTGGTGGTAGATGACAGAACAAAGAGCAACGGTCTCAAGTTGCAGCAAGGGAAGTTTAGGTTGAATATTAGGAAAAAACTTTCTCACGAGGAGGGTAGTAAAACACTGGAACAGGTTACCTAGAGAGGTTGTGGACTCTTCATCCTTGGAGATGTTTTAAAACTTGACTAGTCAAAGCCTTGCCTGAGATGCTCTAGTTGTGGATGGTCCTGCTTTGAACAGGGGGTTGGACTGGATGACTGCCTGTGGTCCCTTCCAACCCTAATTTTCCATGGGCGCTCTTACGCATGCTCAAGGGGCGGGGGGGAGGAAGGTGCACGCTTTAGTTAGAGTAGCTCCAACAACTGGTCTAATTAAAGTGCCCCAGCGTCTCATTTGACAAGCTTTAGTTCAAGCACCCTCACCATCATTTTTAAGCACACAGACGCAGATACAGCGTCACAGGAAGCTGCTGGAGCGTGGCAATTGATTAATCGAGTCTGCTCCAACGTGCTGGAATTGCAGCACCTCAGAGCAGCCTCGCTGCTCATGTATAGGCATCCTGTGATTCTATGGAAAGCAGCATCCTCACACACCCCTACATCAGCCAGATGCTCAGTCCAGCAGAGGGCATTCTTTAAGAAGTTCCTGCATTTAGTCATCTTTACTGAAATGTCTTTAAAGCTGGCTCCCATCCCAGTAAGCTGTTGTAACCCTGTAAGGCCTCTTATGAAACGAGAGGGCTCTCGGGCACTCCCCCACTGCAGGAAGAAGCAGCGCCTTGTAGGTTAAGCAAAAGCAGGGGCTTTCCTAGGCAAATTTCTCTTCTTTAGTGCACTGAAGCAGGTGTCTACATCTGTCCCCTCCAGAGGGAAGTGGCCATGATGTGCACATTAATTAGAGCTGTGCAGTCAGAGCTGGGTTTCTCTTTCCCTCCTGAAGGATTAGCCCCAGGCACTGCTGCCCCCATAGTCCTTGCAAACTCTTTCCTTCTGTGGTGTAGATGGAGGATACGCACTCCACTGCCAAGTCCCA